AAAAAAAAAAAAAAAAACGGACGACGGCCGTGAGATATCATCATTAAGCTGACCGGCCCCAGGCAATTCAGAAATAGTTGGTTTTACAACTTTACTCATGAAGTTCCATCATTTGGATTCGAACACGGGTCTGTATTTTCAACAGTTCATGGGTGTACCCACTGAGCCAGGCTCTTGGGTTAAGTACTTTTTATGTGCCCAACCGAGCACCTTTAAGTAGTGCCAAACAGTCGGTCATTCCTCGTCTGAAGTGCCTACAACACTCTTAGGGGGGGGCTCGGTTCGGGATGTCAGTGTTGCGTGTGGGTGATGATGGATGCTCGTCAGAGTGTCTCCCTGGCTCAGTGAGTGGCGGGAACCAACAGTCTGTGATGTTCAATCTTGATGTGAGTAGGTGATGTGCCGCTTTGCTCCATGTTGGATGTGTGGACTGCCCCGTCTGCGCTTCACCGCTGCCTTGCTGCCTGTCCCGCTTCCTTCGCATGTGGTTCTCTGCAAATTGCTGTGTTCGCTGTGTGCTGTGTGGTGTGGCCGTTTGTTGGTGGTGCCTTGCGCTTCGCTGCTCCACTGCCTTGCCTCCCATCCACTGGTCGTGCCTTCCGTTTTTGTTGGTTGCGCACCTTGTGGTTTGGTTGCCTTGTGCTTTGCTGCACGGTTGTTGGCCTGCTTGTCAGCTCTCGCCCTATCATCCCTTGCAGCCTACACGATTGCTATGCTGTTCTTCCGCTTGTGCCATTCCTTGCAGTTGTCTTTGGCATTGTGCAGCCGTGTCGACTCAACTGCGTTGCGTGGTGCTCCCGCAGGGTTGCTGCCTGCTGCTATGTCCCACTTGGGGACAGTCTGCCTTCAACATGGGTCAAACGGTTCATGACCCAAACCATCAAATCAGAGATTCCGCAGACTATCGAGGGTTCAGACTCCTGATGAGCCGGTGCAACTCCAACAAAACAATCTATCATCGTCAGTTTTTTTTTTTTCCAGTTTTTTTTGGTTTCAATACTTGCCTTATCCGCTGTTTGTTGTCGTTTTCCTGCCTTATGTGCTTGTGTGTTGTCTTCCCTCCTGCCTCCCCCGTGCCCTCCAACCTATGTGTGGTCTTAATGTTTTGCTTCCCCCGTGTGCCCTTCAGTCTAAGTGCATTGTTGTGCCTTGCCATCCATCAGCGCATTGCCTCTCTGCCCCTCGACTTTGTTGTGTACCTACCCCCCCCCCCCCTTCTTTGTGCCTGTTTCTGATGTACCATTGTGTGTGTTCTGGGTCATACCGCAGCTGCACTCGAGATAATGATGCTCCCGCATGGTTTTTCCCACCTTCCGCAGATGGATGCATGTCCCACACCTAGACGTAACCACTAAGCACACTACACGTTTTGGCCACGCCTGGCCGAGTTTGCACGAGTTGCGTCATTGGTAGGGTACACTACCCCTGCATAGCGAGTGACCACGGTGTTCCGACGTTTTTCACCGTTGGAGCTTATCTGGCATAGCGGTTGTGCCATGGTGTGCCTGACGTGCACACACACAACACACACACACACACACACACACACACACACACACACACACACAGAAAATCAGTTATATTATTATATTTATGACCTGTTTTCCTAAGTACTTTCTGTGTCCAAGTGAGCACCTCTAAGCAGTGCCAAAACAGGACGTGGCATGTTGTTTCGAGTGTCTGTAACACTATTAGGGGGGCGCTCAGTATCGGGTGTCCGTGGGTACAGTTTTATGGCTGACGCAGCCTGACGGCAGATTTTGGTCAGAGTTACTCCCTGCCTCAGCAGGTGGTGGGAACCAACAGTCTGCGGGGTTTGCATTTGGTGGAGTAGGTGATGTATTGCTTTGGTTCGTCTTGCGCGTGCAGACTGCCTTGTCTGCGCTCCTCTGCTGCTGTGCTGCCCACCCGCTTGGCATGGCTTTCTGTGCAAGCTTCTCGGTTTACCATGAAGTTTGGTTGCTGTGTCCATGTTGCTTTGTGCCTCACTGAATTGTGGTGCCTTGCTGCCCATCCGTGTGCCTTGTCTTCCTGTGGGCTTTGCTTGTGAAGCAGTTTGGCCGCTTCTGCAACGCTGCTCTGTGCTTCACTGTATTGTTGCTATGCTGCACGTCTGCCTCTTCTGTCCTTCCATGCAGTTAGCTTTGGGACTGTGCGGTTTTGGGTTGCCCCAGTAGCATTGCCTGGTGCTTCGCTGAGTCATTGCCTTGCTGCCATGTTCTGCTTGTGGTGTTGTTTGTGGGCCGTCCAATTTCAGCAAGGGTAAGAGAGTCCACGACTTAAAGCATCGATATGGGGATTCCTCAGGTTGTCGCGGGTTCAACCTCCTCCTAAGTCGGTGCAAGTCCGATGAAGTAATCTATCATCATCTCATAGCTGTACTGTTTGTGGGAGTTCACCCTCCTGATGTGCTGGATGTTGCCCGCTGATAAAGTCTTGTCTTTTCTCTTTTGCTTCTTGTTCTTCGACCTTATGTCGTCTGTCTGTTCTATTGTATGGTGTTTGTTGATTCTCTGTGGAGGACACTTGGGTCTTATGTTTGAAAGTGCACTTGGCCGGGAAGAGTTGGAATTCATCTCTGGGAGGCTATGTATCACACATCAACACACACATACAGGTGTCCATGGCTGAGTGGGTGCGCCGAGCGGGTTTTATGGCTGTGACAGATTAGTTTCTCAGACTTACTGCCGTTCTTGTCAGGGGTTTGGATCGACAGTCTGCTAGGATTGCAGGGTTGCTGTGAGAAAAAGCTGACCACTTTTCTCAGGGCCACGTGGTGAGTCCTTGCCCATCAGTCAAATGCATCCTGGCCAGACTTTGGGGTTCAACCCTCCGGATGAGTCGGCAAAAGTCCGAAAAAAAACAGTCTGGCACAGCCAGGTTCTTTTTTTTGTTTTTTTTTGTGGAGTTGTGTATAGAGAACATGACAACACACACACATGCAGGCAGAGGGTCTACCGGTGCTCCTGCAGTTTCTTTGGGTGGCACTATGTGACGCATGGCATCCAGCAAGTCTTCGAGAGCAAACCAAAACAATACTGGAGAGCCTCCATCTTGTTTCTGGTCACATAAAACTTTGTGGCTGAGCACAGCAGGCCATGCACAATCTTTCGAGCACCGCCTACCCACCTTACTTTTTCTCCGTCAAAGCGCCCATTTAACACTTGGAGGCTCCACCAACTGTAGGGGTTTCTGCCCTTCGACATTAGCCAGTCAGTTGGGGAGGCCAGTTTTTATGGGTCAATCAGCCAAACGAAGGTATTCTTTTCCATCAAGGGTGTAACACAAGCTGGTAGGGCACCACCACATGTGGAGCCAGAGTCCTTAAGCATTTTGATCTGCCAAAAAGGGACGGCAAGGATAATGTCATTGAGTTGATGTCCACCTCTACCACAGAAAGGATAGGTAGGGACTACCACATGTGGAGTCCAAGTCCTACAACATCGGAACGTGATGTCCGCCTCTACCACAGAAAGGATAGGTAGGGACAACCTGTACAGCATCTGATCTGCCAGAAAGGATGGCAGGGATGGCAAATTGATACTTCTCAAAGTGAACACATGATGTCTACATGTACAGCAGAACGGACAAATACTCAATCACTAATCGCCAGTCGCTGATCGCTAACCGTTTATTTGATTTCACTTTCTTTTTTTTTTTTCAATGGAACAGTATTCCAATCTCTTCATGGGCAGCCGCACATGCTGGGAACCGCGCCCAGGATCCCATCTGAAAAATATGAGAAATAATTTAAGATGCAGGGGCCAATGCCCGGCTTCAGCTGAGAATATGATCTAGAACAACTGCAATTATCATATTTAGAGATTTCCATTACATATAGGAAAGGACGAGGCTTGCATTCCATATCACACATTTCCCTGAGCGACATGTTTTCTTTTTTTGTGTGTGGGGAGGAGGGGGGATGGGGACAAGTAGAAAGAGCTCAGCTCAGTAGAGGCCTACCATCGATGTTCCCAAGCGCCGTAGGTCCCAATAAGATTCCACCTGAAAGCACATTACATAAAAGACAAAAGAGACAGGAAGATCATGTTGACAAGCTTTTTCTTTTTTTTTCTTTTTTTTTTGCGCTGAAATTTATAGCACGGTTCTTGAAAAATCAAGCAATAAGTGCACCCCAAACCTCAACGGAGCACGAGTTCATAAATTTGCCTACAATTTTTTGAAAAGGCAGGACTAACATCCGACTAGCTACTAAGGGAAGCGCCAAGTTCAACGAAATAACTACACACGTGGAGCAAAACACCTCGACCCCCCCTGATCAATGTATCTTCCAAACGTCAGCCGGATTGATCGTCAATGCGTCCGTATATCATGAGGTTGCTAATACTTGCTATGAATCAATGAAACAGGAAGGCCTTTTTTTTTTTCCAGTTCCTATTTGGGAGAGTGATGCGAGCAGCCCTCCCCAAAAGGACCGTTCAGGCCACTCCATCCATTGGGGGGAAACATGACCTGCTGGAAACCGGGTCCAGTGTCCCTTAAATACATGCCTTATGAAGTACAAATGAATCAGTGTCTCTTCACCCATCCTCGGGCGCCAGATCTAGCCTTGCAAACCAAACATTGATTCACCTGGGGTTCATGCTCCAGAGTGCACAGCCTTTCCTACATTACTCATAACCAAACCAAGATCTACGAACCATATACTCATTGGCGAAGGGAGGAAGAAATAAGGAAATTCAGAAAAGGGGTGTAAGGGAATGGACGGATCCACATTTGTCCAATCGTTAAAAACTAAATAGTAATCCCTATTCAGCACCTCATGGGCCTCTCCCTGAGCCCCATCCCATTTTACCTGTCCCAATTACCCCCTTTGGTCTCCCCCAAGCCAGCAAATGTTGACTTTGTGAATATGTTGAAGAATTTCAGCACGTCAGGATTATTAGCATTGAATTTTCTCTTTTGTTTGTTCCCATTTGGTAGAGATGTCTGTTTGAACTACTTGCTGTTTTATGGAATCTGTAAATTCCAGACCATCTAATCTTGCTCCCTCCATTTCATGGGTGCACCGTCTCAACCAACTTGCCCACAACACGATGCTCCCTCCCAAGATACAAAAATTATAGGTGAATTCTTGAAAAGGATGAGGGACCCATGACTCCAACAAAAGGGTCTTCCCCCACCACCTTCAAAAACTTCCACGGACCGTAGTAGAGAGGGAGAAGTTTTTGTGACGCCCCCTCTTCTTTTGGAAACTCAGACATCTTGACCCAGGCATCCCACTTCGAAAGTCAACGGTCTATGCTTTTTGTTGCCATACTTAATCATGGCAGCTGTCGCTTTGTCATTGCTGCAACTGCAACTTTGAGCAAGCGATCGTACTTGGCGCTGTAGGCTAAGCCAGGCGTGCCAGGTGTCAGACCAGGCGGCTGTTCAGGGAATAAATAGGAGGGAGGGTTGCGAATCTTCCAACCGAAATGCATCCTGTTCGGCATCATACCAGTGGAGGTGACTGGAGATGTTGTACAGCCCCTTCACTGCATACAACTCTTCGTCCCCACGTCTCCTGATCGGCAATTACATAGAGCAAGGAGAAGCGGTGTCACAGTCTGGGTGATCTCCTCATCCAAACCATTGGATTCGGGATGTCGAGCAGATGCAATCTTCAGTCTGATATCAGAGAGTTGGGAAGTGAAGTCCTTCCAGTCTGCACTTATAAACGAGTGTCCCGATCACTCACAAGAGTCTTCGGGGGGGCATATTGCAGAATGTACTTCTTATGGAACTCGTTGATCACAAGGTCAGTTGGGCCGTGAGGTGGCAATGGAATCAGATTCAGAAACTTAGGAAACCAGTCAACAATCCCCATCACTTGTGAATACCCTTTCCTACTCAACTTACCCATGTCTCTTGCCCGCTGACCCTGAGTATTTGTATGCCCCGACCTTTGGGGGGCGACACTGCATGGTTGGCACCTGCAACAGGAAGGGGCCTTGAGGATAAATGAGGTTAGGGACTTCATTGCAGGGCACTATGACCCGGGGACCACAGCCACCTTTAGTGCCGCGGCAGAACACCTCAAGATAGTGAACAAGGACCTATACGTACTGCTTGAGGAAAACAAGGAGGCTGGTCTGCTGTGGCACACCCAAAATGCACTACTTGATACACAAGTGAATGAAGGTGAAGCCTAGCCGAATCTGGTCGGTGGACAAGCTTCTCACATGCCTTTGCCAAACTCTAAGAAGAAATATTTTCAATGAGGGGGATAGATTGAGAGTTTCAGCCCTGGCAACATGATGGGTGACCAGTAGAGAAGCCTTATAAAGATGGATTGGATCGAAGCCCTATATTATAGTAGAAACAAAGCCTGGCGGCACACCTTGCAGATGACAGACCTCGACGTGAGGTCTACAAATGTCAATGGCTTGGGCTCTCATAGCCAGGATAAAACCCAAGCGCTCTGGGACCTGATGTGAGGGGTGGGGGGGGTGGGGGGGGGTTCTAGCTGGATGCAGTCTGTGTCCAGGAGATCTACCTAAAGGACACACCGGAGCAGAGCTCACAGGCTAGACTGGCCCCTCCAAGCTTACCGGGCTCACACTCCCAAAGTAGGGCATGCAGCGGTAGCAGTGTGGATCCCACCCAACTGCACATTTGAGGTGCTCCACTGGGAGAAGGATGATGAGGAGGGAAGGTGGGTATCAGTGGCTGGAATGTTGGAGTTGGAAGTAGTATGTATTATCTTTCTTTATGCCCCCAATAATGCCCATGAAAGAAGAGAGTTTTGGAGCTAACCGAGACCACCCCTTCCCCTAACATCCCGGTAATCCTGGCAGGAGATTTTAACGTCATGCCGAATAGATGGATGGACCTATGGAGAGTCTCCCCCTCCGCCAACTTCAATTCCGGGGAAGATGAGAGGATGGTGGGAGATTTGTGTGGCTCCCTCTCTCTTCTTGACACTTTCAGATGAGCAAACCCCACAAACAGAACCTTCGCATGCATAAGAAGTAATGGCTCCTCCAGACCTTATAAATCCAAGATCGACTTTATCTTTGCCTTGGAAGATTTGGCAGGAGGGCTGACAGCATCTTCCATATTGCCACTGACCCCACACCACAGTCTAAACCACAAGATGAGCATGGCAATCCTTTGTTCCGACAGAGACCGGGTCAGGGGCCAGGATTCTAGAAGCTCAACCCATCCTTGAAACTGGCGAACGATTCACGAAAAAACAACAGCAAAAAAGTTGAAAAAAAATTAAAAAAAACTCAATTAGAGCAATTTCCGTATCTCACGCAATTCCCCTTAAGGGTCTGCACAAGACAATTCTTACTACGGGATCTCTAAGTTTTCCTTGGTATGGTACCACCCTGGAGTTATTTCCCCAATTCCCACAATCTCAAATTCAATTGAATTGTCTCCTAAAGGTTTACAGGTAAAAACCAGATATATGTAACCACGAGATGTAAGCAACTTAGGTTGCAACACATAGGCCCTATAGTAGCTGGGGAGGGAAACAAACCTTACAGGCAGCGAAGAGAGTCAATCAGATTCCGCAGACGAACAGGAGCCCTCCTTGTGCCTAGAGTTGTGATGCAAGCCCCATGGCACTGGATTTTCGATTCCAATCCGGTTGGTTGGTTCGACCGACATCTTATGGGCGACTGTAACACGACCAAACAAGTTGCCCTCCATACTGGTAGGGTGATGGTCCTGAGTGCTGGTCACACTGAGGTAGGATAGTAAGGGATAGGGGGTGCGCTAGGAGTATTGACGTGAGGATGGGATGGGAGGTAGCCTCGTCTTGTCAGGGAGTCCACGG